GGCCACTGGAGGAGGTTAAGGTGGATCGTATACACGGTACTTCTGGCTGAAGATTGAAGATTCTGTTTTTATTTCACATTTCCGGCATCTTCAATATTCTGCTTTTTAATTGTTCTGTAATACAGAGATCATGATTTGCTGATTTTCCAAACTGGCAAATACATCAGTTCATGAGTTCATGGGAAATATGGGCATGAAAAGTCATTCAAAGCCCATCAAGCCTGCTCTACCGTTCACTAAGATTGAGGTCGCTCTGATTGCAGCTTACACTCCACTTTGTTTCCTGTCCCTCAAATCAATCAACTCCCTTGAGAACACAAATCTGTTTAACTCGGGCTTCAGTATCAATATAAGTGCCTTTGAAAAGGTGGTAGTGAGCTGCCTTCTTGAACCACTGCAGTCCATTTGGTGTAGGCATATCCACAATGCTATCAGGGATAGAATTCCAATATTTTGCCCAAATGACAGTGAAGAAATAGCAATATATTTACAAGTCTGGTTGGTGAGTGGCTTGGAGGGGAACTTGCAGAAGGCGGTATTCCCATGTATCTGCTACCTTTCACCTTCTAGATGGCAGTTGTCGTGAATGTGGAAAGTGTTGTTTAAGGCGCCATCGTGAATTTCTACAACGTATCTTGTAGATGGGACATAATACTCTTATGTGTCAGTGGTGGATGCTGTAGATGTTTGTGGACATGGTGTCAATCAAATAATCTGCTTTGTCTTAGGTTTGGTTTCAAGTTTCGTGAGTATCGTTGGAGCTGCATTCACCTTAGCAAGTCGGGAGTCACACTCCTGACTTCTGCCTTGTAGATTGTGGACAGGCTTTGGGGAGTCAGGAGGTGAGTTCCTCATTGTAGGATTCCTAGTGTCTGACCTCCTGATGTAGCCGCTATATTTATATGGCTAGTCCAGTTCCGTTTCTAGTCAATGGAAACCCCAGGAGTCATAGAATCATACAATGTTGATAGTGGGGAATTTGGTGATGGTAATGACATTGAATGTCAAGGGGTGATAGTTACATTACCTGATACTTGTGTGATGTGAACTTGCCACTGTCACCCCCAAAGTTGAAGGTGATTAGGCCAAGGACATTATCCTGAGGAACACCTGCAAAGATGTTCTGGAGAATAACTCACTCAGAGATAGTCAGAACTGCTGATCTGGAGTCAGAGATAACACAATGTGGAGCTGGAGGAGCACAGCAGGCCAGGCAGCATCAGAGGAGCAGGAAAGTTGATGTTTTGGGTCGGGACCCTTCTTCAGAAAAAAGTTTTTTCTAAAGAAATGTCCCCACTCGAAATGTCAACTTTCCTGTTCCTCTGATGCTGCCTGGCCTGCTGTGGTCCTCCAGCTCCACACTGTGTTATCTATATTCTGGAGAATAAATGAATGGCTGCCAAACACTATAACCATCTTCCTTTGTACCAGGTATGACTCCAACCAACAGAGAGTTATCCCCCGGATTTTCATTGACTAGGACTCCTCAATGCCTAATACAGTCAAATGAATTAAATACCTTGAGGTCAACAGCAGTTATTCTCATTTCATCTCTGGAATTCTATTCTTTTCTCCATGTTTGAACCAAGGCTGTAATTAGGTCAGGAGTTGAGTGACCTGGTGGAATCCAAACTGAGTGCCAATGAGCAAGTTATTGCTAAACAAATGCCACTTGATAAATGCTGTTGATGGCCAACTGTATACCAAGCTGCTTATCCTGTTTCACTCACAAGTAGTCCTGTGTTACAGTTTCACTGGGTTGACAGTGCATTTTCAGATGTGCTTTGTGCTGCTCCTGGCGTGGCTTCCTATGGTAATCAGCAGGAGGTTTCCTTTTCCATGTTTGATCTGAATCAATGAGATTTCGTGTGGTCTGGAATCAATGTTCAGGACTCCGAGGGCAACTCATTCTCAACGGTATGCCACTATGTCACCAGCTCTGCTTGTTCTGTCCTGTAGCTGGGGCAGGAACATCTCAGGGATAGTGATTGTGTTGTCTGGGACATTGGCTGTAAGGTCTGATTTTGTGAACATGATAGACTGTCTGCTCCTCCAAATACATTCTTTCTTTCTGACTCACTTAGATGGCCTCCTGCAGCATGATGCCATTTGTCCACACAAGCTGCAAAAATCTTAAACCTGTGGAATAAGTACAAGAGCTGAGGCTCCTCCACTGCTGCTTTTTGGATCCCCATAATGCCTCATTTGGAGTCACAACATTCTGTCCCTGACCACAAACCAAATCAGAAGTACTTAACCTCAGACATGACTGCATCTTGGAACAAAATGATGAGGTAACATCACCCTTCCCTGCTGTATCACAATTTCCTCAAGTTTTAGGCACTTTCTGCAGATGTATTTGCCAAGATCACAAAGGTCACCAGCTCCCACATACTCCAGCTGCAATAAATCACACACTTGGCCATCTTTACCTTGTTTGTCTTTCACGAATTAGGTTTAATGTTTAAGTTAGTAGTCTGAGTTCTGAGGAAGGGTCACTGGATCCGAAACGTTAACACTGTTTTCTCCTTCACAGATGTTGCCAGACCTGCTGAGCTTTTCCAGCAACTTTGTTTATGTTCCTGACTTACAACATCCACAGTTCTTTTGGTTTTTAATGTTTAAGTTGTTGATTATTTTGAGTTGTGCTATGAGGTTTAACTATTTATACTATAAATTTAATGTAATAGTTATATCTTCCCGATACTGGTATAAACTACTGCCCAAATTTACACAGGGAAAAATATGTAGAACTCATCAATTATCCATCTTCACACCTGGCTTTCAGGTCCTCAGTCTGTCTCCCACTCCGTCTCTTGGAGCATTCCTGTTTGTAAAAGGTCATAACAGTGCCTCCTCCTTCATAGAAGTGAATTCCCTCCCTTAGTAAATTCCTGTCTCACTGCACACAATCTCCAACAATAAACTTTATGCAACAAACTTCACACATGTGCTCAACCTCCTGCATTTATACCTCCTCAGTTTTTAGCGAAATGAGTCAGCACAGCTGGAGAGGAACCAGTACCAACTAGTCACCTAACTAATTACCCAACACATGATCTAGGTATGGACCTTGTTTGTCACTAATATTGAAATAAACTGCAATGGGTAAATAAATGCTAAATATAAACTTCACCAGATTTTAGAAAGTGATCAACCCTTATTCTCTCACTTACTAAATACTTGGATTTAAGTACATAGTAGCAGTAGACCATTTAGGACCTCGAGTTTGAGATGTTATACAAGATCATGACTGATCACCTACTTCAATATTATCATCCTGTGTTATCCCCTTGTCCTTTGATGCCATTAGCAATGACAAATCTACCAATCTGTCTTGAACTTACTTAATGACTGAGCTTCCACAGCCTTCTGGGTTAGGGAATTTCAAAGATTCTCTGAGTGAAGAAGTTTCTCTTCACCTCAGCCCTGAATTGCTTGCCTTTTGCTTTTAGATAATCAATCACTTTGGTACTTGACCCCACAGGCTTTCTGCATCTACTTTGTCTATCCTTTTTGCATTTTTGTAATTATCAATAGTATTCCTGTCATTCTTCTGAATTCCAAAGACTGCAGGCCAAGCCTCGTCAATCTCTCCTCATAGAACAGTCCCACCATTCCAGGAATCAGTCTGGTGAATCTCTGCTACATTCCCTCAATGGCAAATATATCTTTCTGCAGGCAAGAGAACTTGAAATATATTCTCACCCGTGTTCTATACAACTGAAGCAAGACTTCCTTGCTCCTGTACTTAAATCCTGTCGTGATAAAAGATGGCTGCAACTTCATGTTAGCCTTCAAAGTCTTACAAACAAGGACACCTCGGTTTCTTTGCACATCAATGCTTTGCAATCTCTCACCATTTATGAAATACTCAACACCTCTGCACCTTCAAACAAAATTGTCACCTCAGGACTAACAAAACAGTTTTGGAAGAAAGTCAGAAATTGCTGGAAAATCTCAGCAGATTTGGCAGCTTCTGTGGTGAGAAATCAGAGTTGATGTTTTTGGTCCAGGGACCCTTTTTCAGAAGAAGGGTTCTGAAGAAGAGTCACTGGACCTGAAATGTTAACTCTGATTTCTGTCCACAGATGCTGTCAGACCACCTGAGAATTTCCAGCAATTTCCGTTTTTGTTTCAGATTTCCAGCATCCACAGTTTTTTCAGTTTTTTGGAAGAAAGTCATCTTCTCCAAGAACTTTCCAAGAATAACTTGTAGATATATCTCTGTATCTTTCTGCACTTTCTTCATGATTTTTAACATTATTCTCAACAAAATTGTCGTATTTTCATGAAGAGAATAGTGATTTATGTTATCATTCGTGCCTGAACTAAGAAAGGTGCAAATCAGAAACACTTCCACGGAGGAGGCCGGGCCCAGCATCTGCCACCTCAGAGAGTTGCGGACGTTCATTCGTTGTGTATATTCAAGTTAGAGGCCGACAGGCTTTTCGACGTTGATCGAATTAAGGCATTTGGAGATAACGTGGGAAAGTTTTTTTCAAAATTATTTGATACAGCTTTTGTACAAAAGTATCTCAATTAAAATCATGAATTTAAGTATAAACCTTCCACTGCATTACAGAAGTAGTCACAATTTATAACAAATGCAGCGATTCTGAACTGCAACTGCCAAATGTTTAAGCCGATATTGAAGATCACCACTGATCCTTTTCAAGAGGAAACAGCAGCACAATCGAGCAACAACAACAGAAATTGCTGGAAAAACTCAGCAGGTCTGACAACATCCGTGGAGTGAAATTAGAGTTAACGTTTCGGGTTGAATGACCCTTCCTGAGACATCTTAAGCACAATGGATCAGTCGCGTCGGATTCGGGGCCGAACGCACAGTCTGACGACGCGAAGAAGTGTGCGGGAGGGTGTGACGTTAGAGATTGCCCGGCAACGCTGGCGGTGATTGGCAGCTGGACGAGCCATGACGTAATCGTTGGGGCGGCAGGTTGAGGTGGAGGGAATGCGCAGGCGTAGTTGGCAGCGAATTGGAAGGGGACCTTGGGGGCTGGCTGGACGGGAGGGGACTGGTATCATTGACAGTGGCTTCGGTCCCAGTGGGATAGAGGGAGACGGTGAAGCTGAGTGAATCATTTAGAAAGCTTTCTCTCTGGGGGATAGTGCCAGCTAGTTCGAGTACAGTGTCGACACTTTAACACAGATTTCCGTCTACACTCACACACGCGCACCGGAGAAGGAGTGGCAGTTAGGTTCAACTGTTGTTGTCTTCTGGTCTCATTTTTATTTCGGTTGTGAGAAGGAATGTGTGCAGCGCCGGGATTTTATCATCAGAGATAACGCTGCGTGAGCCGCGTTGGACTTACTTCCAGAGGTATTAACATTTTAAATCTGCTCGCACAATAGTAGACGGACGCCTTTCTTTGCTGTGTGTAGGTATTTTCACGGTTTGGTGGGGAGATGAAGAAAGCACCATCATGTGCGACGGAGGGGATTTGAACCCGTGGCTTCGCGGTTTAGGGGGCGGTGGGCTTCTGTGATTGGAATAAGATTGCTGATTTTGGCGAAAGACGATCATCGGCAAATCAAATCTTGACGAACCGGCTGTGTTTCATTTAATCATTGACATTTGAGGTGGCGTTGTTTTTTTTGTCTGTTGATGTTGAGAGTGCAAGGCCAGTACGGCTCTCAAATGCACTGGTTTCACACCGTTTGAAAGGAAGGGGGTTGGGAGAATTCTCAATGTTTTGGGCATCACTCTGCGGGGCGGAGGCTTAAAGCCGAGCTAAGAGTTCACTTGAATCGGACAGATTGCTTTGCAATCTAACTCACGGTTGAATTTCTTTTGTTTTACACATCGCCCACGAATAGCATATTTATTTGAAGATTGAGTGATAAGGCGTGATTTATTCGATAAAATGAGAATTGGGTCTGCTACTGACCCGGAATTCCTTCCCCATCTCTAACAGCTGTCTCATGCTGAACCAGATTGTTTGCAGTGATGTCCTATTTGACCTTATTGTTCGACTTCTGATCCCATAAAGTCTCGGTCAGAAAGGACATCTTCTGTCACGTAACTTGCGTCTGCCCAATCGCACTCCAACTGTGCTGAGATTCTAACTTCCTTATTTTTCTCAGCTATCGACTTGGCTATTCCAATACAAGAGCTAAACACTGAGCATGCTGGAAATACTCCACAGGTCAAGCAACATCTGTGGGTGGGGGTGGAGGTGAATGGAAGACAGATTCAGACCAGTGACCTTCTTATTCGAACTGGAAAAAAGTAAAATGCAACAAGTTTTTAGCAAGTGGTGAGCTCGGCATAGGATGAACTGGAAAAGCAATAACAACGGTCATGAAAAGTGAGCATTGTCAACAGTTGCTGTCTGACAAATTGACGGTAAAACCATAGAAGAAGAATTTGGTTCATCAAGTCTGCTCTGCCATTTGATCATGAGTTGTATGTTTCTCAACCCCATTCTCCTGCCTTCATCCTGTAACTCTTGAATCCATTTACTAATTAAGAACCTGTTTATCTCTGTCTTCAATACACTCAATGACTGGGGCTCTGCAGCCTATTTTAGCAATGACTTCTACAGGTTCACCACCCTCTGGCTGAAGAAATTCCTCTTTGATTTATTGTTGTGACGCGCTGAGTTACAATGGAAAGTGTTGTTTTGCATGCTATAAAAGCAGATCGTACCATACGAAGTGCATCATGGTAGCAGAACAGGGTATAGAATAGAATGTTACAGCCACAGAGAGAAAGATCAGAATTAACATTTGAGCAGTCACTTCAAAAGTCTGATAACAGTGGGGAAGAAGCTGTTTGTACATGTATTTAAACTTTTATATCTTCTGCCTGATGAAAGAGGATGGAAGAGAGTATAACCAGCATGATTCGGGTCTTTGATTATATTGGTTGCTTTCTGAGGCAGTGGAAAGTATACTTGGAGTTGATGGATAGACGGCTGGTTTGCGTGATGGACTGGGCTGTGTTCATGACTCTAGTTTTTTGCGGTCTTGGGAAAAACAGTTGCTGTACCACGCTGTGATGCACCCAGAAAGGATGCTTTCTATGGTGCATCTATAAAAATTGGTAAGTGTCATTGTGACATGATGAATTTCCTCAGCCTCCTGAAGAAGTAGAGACGCCGTGCATGCTTGACGGTCATGTTGATGTGGATGGACCAGGACAGATCATCACACCCAGGAACTTGACGCTTTTGACCGTCTGCAATCCAACACCATTGTTGCAAACAGGCGGCGTGCCCTCCACTCTGCTTCCTGAAGTCAATGACTAGTTCTTTGATTTTGTTGACGTGGACGGAAAGATTGTCTTTACACCATGCCACGAAGCAGTTGGAATCTTTCCTATATTCTGTCTTGTCACTGTTTGAGATCTGACCTACAATGGTGGTGTCATCGGCAAACTTATAAATGGAATTGGGGCAGAATTTGGCCACAAAGTCGTGAGTGTATAAGGTGTGTAGTAGGAGCTGAGTACACAGCTTTGCAGGGCACTGCTGTTGAGGATTATGGTGGAGGAGATGTTGTTGTCTATTCTTACTGATTGCAGTCTGTGGGTCAGGATGTCGAGGATCCAGTTACAGATAGGGCTGCCGTGACCTGGGTCTCAGAGATTGGAGATGAGTTTGTTTGGAATTATGATGTTGAAGGTGGAATTGTAATCAATGAGTTGGAGCTTAACATAGGTATCCTTGTTATCCAGATAATCCAGGGATGAATGTTGGCCCAGGGAGATGGTGTCTGCTGTGGACTTGTTGTGCTGTAGGCAAATTGCCATGGATCAAGGCAATTTGGTAGGCTGGAGGTGATGTGAGCCATGACTAATCTCTCAAAGTTCTCCGTAATTATGGAGGTCAGAGCCACCGGGCAGTAGTCGTTGAGGCATGCTGCATGATTTTTCTGTGGCACCTGGGATGATGGTGGTCTTGAAGCAGGTGAGATTGTAGTAAGGGGATGTTAATGATGTCTGTGAATACTCTCGCCAGCCAGTCTGCACAGGATCTGAGTGCACGGTCAGGGACTCCGTCAGGGCCAGTTGCTCTCCTTACTTGGTCCTAAAGGGTCATCCCTTCACATCCCAGCATGGAAACAGACCCTTCAGCCCAGCTGACCAGGTTTCCTATACGGAACTCGTCATATTTGCTTGCGTTTGGTTTATACCCCTCTAAACCTTAGCTATTCATGTACCTGTCCAAATATCTTTTGAATATTGTAATTCTCACCTCTACCACTTCTCTGGCAGCTTGTTTCAGCCTCTCTTTATAACTCAAACCTTTCAGTCTTGGTAACATCCTTGTAAATCTTGTTTGCACCCTTTCCAGTTTAATAACATCCGAAAGCAGGGTGACTGGAATTGTTCATGGTACTCCAAATGTGGCCTTACCACTATCTTGTATGGTCGTAACATGACGTCCCAACTCGTGAACCCAAAGCTTTTACCGGTGAAGGCAAGCTGGCCAAATGCCTTCTTCACCACTCTGTCAACCTGTGAAGCTGCTTTCAAGGAACTATGTAAAAAGCAAAAGAACTGCAGTTGCTGTAAATCAGGCACAAAAACAGAAGTTGCTGGCAAAGCTCAGCAGGTTTGGCAGCATCTGTGAAGTAAAATCAGAGTTCATGTTTCGGGTCCTTGTTTTTCCCTTTCTTTTTAAGGGCTATGTACCTGCACCCCTTGGTGTCTCTGTTCTATAACACTCCCAAGGCCCTACTATTAACTGTGTAATTCCTGCCCTAGTTTATCTTACCAAAACACAACACCTTGCTTTGACCTGTATTAAACTCCATCTGCCATTCTTCAGCCTACTGGCCCAATTGATCATGATCCCGTCATACTGTTAAATAACCTTATCACTGTCTGCTTTACCATCATTTTTGGTGTGACCTGCAAAATTCCGAACCATGCTTCTTATCTTCTCATCCACGTTTTTTAATATAAATGATGAACAACAGTGGAGCCAGCACTGATCCTTACGGCACATCGCTGGTCACAAGCCCCAGTCTGAACATCAACTCTTAACCACCACCCGCTGTCTCCAAACATCAAGCCAATTTTGGACTGGACTGAATTGGATGGTTTTGAAGAAAGGTCACTGGACCTGAAGGGTCTATTTCTGTGCTGGAAATACGGATTGCCATTTTCTATCTGCTGTACTGACAATTTGGAAAAACTTGTGAAATCTGACAAGTCTGGTTCAAATTTGTTCTGTTGCTCTTTTTGTGAAATTTGAAAAAATATTTTATTCTTGAGAAGTGGGTAGTGCTGGCAAAGGCAGCATTTCTTGTCAATCCTGTGAACAATGGACTCATTTCAAATTGTTAAATGTCACTATGTTGAAGGTGTTCTACAGTTCTGTCTTTGTGATGGGTTCAAACAAGTTTAAGGCCTGCTCACTCATTTCAGAAATCAATTCAGAACAAAGTCGACTGGAGTCATGTTGAGACTCCACAATAAGAGTCACATTGAAGTGAAAGTCACTTCTACTGTCACCAGCTTTTTATTTCCAGATATATTCAACTGAACGTGAACTTGCCGCAGGGATATTGATCTTGTGCAATTTGGATTCCAATTTTGGAACTCTTTGTTACTGGCACACTTGTTTGGACTATACCCAATTTGTGACTTGATTTGTACTGAAAATGTTAAAAGTATGGCCAGAAAACTGTTAATGACGAGTAGAATTTCTCCAAGTATTGGAATTCGTAAATGGTTTTATGCTGAAACTGGTACAAGTTCAGTGTATGCAGGAAAAGAGAAATTGACAAAACCACTGGAAAATTTGGTGAATGAATTTTGCATGAAGATAATGTGAACAAGCAATTGGAAATTAACAGTTGGAAGGTACAGATAAAGAAAATTAAGAGGTTAGAAGGTAACTGGGACAAAATACCTAAAACAGGAAGAACATGGTCAAAATGAAGTTCCATGCAAGTCCTGAATCCCTCCCCAGTTGATCCTGGTTGACTTAAGATTTGTTCTCTATAGTTGGTGGAATTGTAGTGCCTGCAGGATGCTCTCTCAAAATATAGAAAAAAAAATAGACGCAGTAGATATTTTGACAAGCCAATCCCCAGCTTGAACACTACTTCAAATTGGACGAATCTGGCCATGCTTTTCTCTCGGGATTTCTACTGCCTTGAAAGCTCTGAAGTAAATGGCTCCTGTATATTACATGGAAAAGCTGAAGCATTGAGAAAAGGCTGCATATTCAATGTCACTCTGATGCAACCCTTTTTATTTGCCTTGATTTCATTGATTGTAACAGTGACTCAGGTAGCACTGAAAAACCTGTGCTTTTGTTTGCTGAGATCCATGAAATATTCATCTGAGACCTTGTAAGCCCTCTC